TGTTTTTTGTCTTTAAGGGGGGGTTGGGGTCGTGGGGTTCTGTTTTTGTTTTGTTATTGTTTTGGAGTTTTTTTGGGGGGTTCTTGTTTGTTTAGTTGTTTGTTTGTTTGTTGTTGTTTTGTTTTTGTTTGGGGGGTGTTGTTGTTAGGTTTTTTATTTTGTTGTGGGTTGGTTTTTTATTGGGGGAGTGTTTGTTTGTTGTTGTTGTTGTTGTTGTTTTGTTTTGTTTTTGTTGTTGTTGTTGTTGTTGTTTTTTTTTGGGGGGGGGGGGGGGGGTTGGGAGGGAGGTGAATTGATAAGACAAGAGGTTAGTTGCCGGGGTTTTTTAGATGTATTGTATTGAGCAAAATAGTTATCCGGCCTGCGTCTGAATATTAACTTTAGGACTTTTCCAAGCTCTTAAAAGTTTGTTCCATTTTGTTTTTGTTTTGCTTTTACAAGCTTGTACTTGTCAACATTTCTAAACTTTTGTACCGCCCACGTATATGTATTTCCAAGAGGGACATTAAGTTATCATTAACCAACTCATGTATTTACCTGGGTGATCTCCAACGCCCGAACCCCTCACTAGTGGGCAATGTCGCGCTGGTTGACAAACACTGTCTTAATAATATCTTAAAATAAGTCTTAAGAACAGAAATGTGGTTTCTTAGGAGACTGCTGAGAGTATCGTGGAAGGAAAAGAAATAAATCAAATGACGTAGTGCTGGGTGAAGCCCACGTGAGACAATCACGGATAAAAACAATCAGGAAACGACAAATGCAGTTTTTGGGGCGCCTGAATAGACATACGGGTCTTGAACATCTAGCTCTCACTGGCAAAATTGAAGGCAAACGAGGCAGGGGTAGGCTCAGAGCTACCTACTCAGGAAACCGTAACAAATGGGTAACAGCGAAATACCAGGGAAACGTGGCTTTTTTAATGGCTTCCGAGCAAAGGAATAAATTGAAAACCATGATCGCCGATGTCTGTCCCAGATCTGGCACTGGATGAGATTACGGTCCTTTGGGGCGCAACAGGTGTTTTCATGCTACTTTCTTTTTGCCTTCGAAGTTCCCCGTAAATTTTAAGATGTAATTTTATATAGGTCCTTTAGAGCACAACAAATTCTTTATTGCTGCTACTTTTGCTTTCTTTCGACGCTACCCGTAAATTTTATGATGTAATCATTTAGGTCCTTTAGAGCACAACAGGTTCCTTATTGATGCTACTTTTGTCCCCCCCCCGACTTCCCCCGTGACGTCACCAGGTGTTTGACATGGACGGTAACGGCTACATCGACCGACACGAGCTGCGTTACATCATGAAGCGGCTAGGGGAGAACCTGGGAGAGGAGGACGTGAAGGAGATGTTCAAACTGGCAGACCTCAACGGAGACGGATTGATAGATTACGAAGGTGAGTGGGGGGCAGGGTGCACACTCGATCATCGACACTGATCGAGTATTATTAATAGTAATAATGATAGTGATAATTATAATGATAATAATAATAATAATTTTTTTTATTGCATTTATACTGCGAATTTCCATTTTCTGTAATTTTTTTAATGCTCAATGCGCATTACATCGAAAAAGACATCACATCTTAAAAATTAATCGACAAGCGTGTACGTAAAACACAGTATTATGCTATGTATATATATTTTTACACATTGAATGGATATCCTTATAACGACTCCGAAAAATCTAACGGTTTTGATAGAGCACATAGAATATTTGGTTTCTGACCTCATGGTCTTAGCAACTCAAAACGGCCAAAAACGTCAGATAGAACTTGGTAATTCTGAGGTAAAGTTATGTAGATTAGTGTCAAAGAAGTTAGCAGTGGACAGGGAAAAGTAGAGAGTGTTTGTCTGTTCCCCATACCCCAATCCAGGGTGAGAAAGGAATTGATGAGAATGAAAGGCACTCGGCAGGAATTTTCCTCGCTTCACCCAGGTGTGTGTGTGGCTGCCCGACCACTGATGGCGGAAGATCTTGATAGTATGTTAATGTTTTCGCTCCTGTAAAATATCAGCTTGCATTGTATGATTCCCAGGAGATTGAGATTGTTTCAGAATGCTATCAGGTCTGCTGGGGTAATGATTAAAAATATAGTCTGTTGTAAAGGCTGGAGTTTGCTGTTGAGCGGGAATGTGCTTCACAAATGCTATTATTATTGTTTTTATTATTATTATTATTATTATTATTATTATTATTATTATTATTATTGTTATTATTATTATTATTATTATTATTATTATTATTATTATTATTACCGTATTATTATTATTATTATTATTATTATTATTATTATTATTTTGTTATTGTTATAATTATTATAATTGTTGTTGCTGCTGCTGCTGCTCTGCTGCTTTTGATATTATTATCATTATGATTATTATTATTAGTTTTAGTAGTAGTAGTATTATTATTATCAACATTATTATTATATTTTTATTATAATTATTATCATCATCATTCCATTTTTTTTCTTTCCAGAGTTTTCCAAGCTTCTGGGCGGTCTGGGAGGGGGGCTAGGTGGTCTGGCCCAGGCGGCAGCGGCTCCCTCCTCCTCCTCCTCCTCCTCGTCGTCATCAACAAACGCTAAGCAAACGCCCAAGTCTTCAAAGTCTTCAAAAGACGGCAAGAAGAAGTGAAGACAGCACCCTTTCCTGACTGTGATAGTATATCCCCCACAACCAGAACGACAACAAACAGCAGCAGCAGCAGCAACAACAACAACAACAACAACAACAACAACAACAACAATAACAACAACAACATCAAATCAACATCAAAATCGCCTGCAACAACATCAACCAACGACAGCAACAGCAGCAGCAACAATGATAAAAATAGCAGCAGTATGAGCAGCAACAGCAAGAAAATCAACAGTTCCAGCGACAGTAGCAGCAACAACAACAACAACAACAACAACAACAACAACAACAACAACAGCGACAGCAGCAGTGTAAACAGCATTAATAATGCCAACAACAACAACAACAGAAAAAGCATCCACAACAGCAGTCTGAACTTCCGACAACCAGAAACAGCAGCAGCAGCAGCAGCAGCAGCAGCTAAGATGTTTGTGACGGCTGCAGCTTCACCGACAACAACAACAACAACGACTACATCAACTTACCACAACAACGACGACTACAACTGCAACAGCGTTGTAACTACTCTTGGAAATAATCAACTTCATCATACCGCTACAACAACAACAACAACAACAATAGCAACAACATGATCAGCAACCACAGCAAGCAGTTGCAGCTACCCAAGCAGACAGGACAGCAGCAATAGCGATTGCAACAACGACAGAATGCTCCCGTGGCAGTTGCAGTTAAATAGAAATATAATAAACATCTTTTGTCTCAAAGCTAGAGAAACAAAGAAGGTGATCCTCTTCTATTCTTCTCCGTTTCCTCGCACAGGTTGCCAACCGTCACTCGTCCGTTCTTGTCTCATGATATCCAGTTTGGAAGGACATCTCCTCCTGACTATTTGCATAAGGTCGCGTTTTTGTCGGCATGAGACGGATTTGAAATTACACATGGGTGGTTTTGAACTCTGGTTACACAAATACACTCAAAGGATGTTTTCGTAAGTTTGAAATATTTGTGAAGGAAACCAGAGAGGATTTATCATAGAGCTAAGGTATTGGTGACGAAAATCTCGGAGGATTTCACGTACAGATTTTTTTGACGAAAATCTCTGTGGATTTCGTGTAGACATAAGGTATTTGTGACGAAAATTTCGGAGGATTTCAGTATTAGGTCCATTCTTTGTCTTTTCACAGCTTGTGGGAACAGTTTTGTAAATACCCTTTTCCCAACTTCACATGTCATTAGTCATTTAGTCTCTGAATCGTGCTACAGGTCCCAAGTGATTGACTGTTTGATTTTTTTCAGAATTATGACGCAACTGTGACCTTTTGGTCAGGTCATGTCTGTGAGGGCGGTGCAGAGCCCAACGAAATTGCTTTTTTGCTCACGGAAAATTGCAAAGGTCTTTTGCTCTGTGGCTCTGGGTTTTTTGTTTGTTTGTTAGGGGCTTTTAGGAAGGGTTGATGTTTGGGAGGTGTTTTTTCTGTGAGTTATCATTTTGGAGGGAGTATCATTCTGTCTTGCCATAGGTTGTTTTGTGGATGAAAGAGAAAGTGGTCAGTTGTGCCACGGGTCAGATTTTGACCCCAGATTTCCGGACGTCCAGGGCACGGCGTGATTACGTGGATAGCGGCTCTGTGATGTTGTCAGAGAAAATCTTCAGAAGTCACTGACTGCCAGGCTCTGGGGAAAAGAATGTTACGGCGAGTTACACCTCGAGCTGTCTTCGTGTGCTCTATCTCTCTCTGTCTCTGATAGAGGATAACAAAATCCTTTCCAATTAGTGATTGATGATGCTTCCAGGGAGTGATGACCTAATGAAGAGGTCTGTAGTCTCTATTGGTGATACACCAGGGATGGTGATCTGATAAGGTTCTGTGGTCAGTACTGGTGATGCACTAGGGAATTAGGACGGGGTGAGGAGGCCTGTGATCACTAAGCTTTTCTTCAGTATGTCAGCTCTCGTCATCGTTTGGAGACCGTACATTATGGACAATCTTGTTGGGTTTCTGCGATGTGTCTCTGTGTTTGTCGCCTCGGCAAGAGCAGGTGGATCCACAACAACGACTTACGTCACACAGTTTGGCATGGAAGGGTTAACAAATTATAATACGCTGAACAACTCCCCACCATTTCCTCACCCTCTTTTCCTTGCTGGAATGATAGACATGAGAGAATGGCGGTGCCCGTTGGCGGCCACCCTGTCATGGGAAAAGAACGGACGATGCTCGACGGACGGATAGATCTAGAAGGGATTACATTTTTAAAATTTCAAGTACATTCTTTGAAAATTTTTTTTTCACTTTTATTTTTTATTTTTGTTCATCAGGTCATGAACAAAGACCTCGTATATGAAGTATGGAACTGTGTGGTTCTCATTTACATAAGCTGGATATGTACTTCTCTTCCTGGATACACTGCTAGCTCGGTACCCGATGGGGCGTTTTTGAACTTGATCTGCTTATGGGGTTCTCAAAGCTTCACATCTCCTCCGCCCAGTTCTCCATGAGATGCACATTTAATTCGTAACCCTCCCCTCTTAAATAACCTCATAGTGTTGAAGGGGGCACTGAATCGTACTAAAAATACTCACTTCTACCGTTTCCCCACAGGGTCAATTTTCTTACTTTGAATCATCAATGGGATATGAAACACTCAGTTGGCATTGAGGTGATCACTTGCTACAGGCGTTGTTTCTGTCATACATCAACATACACACTACAGTGCCAACACAGTTGTAGAAGCTCTTGTTACAAGTAGACTCGCTTCAGAAATCATTAACATAATTTGTTCACAGACCTACTCACTCCTGCAGTGCAGACTTATTCGTGTGAGCACTCGCACACTCACGCACGCACACACACACACACACACACACACACACACACACACACACACTCACACACACACACACGCACACACACACATAAGCACGCACACAAACGCACGCAGGCACGCGCACACTCACACACACACACACACACACACACACACACACACACACACGGGCGCGCGCGCCCCCCCCCCCCTTCTCCTCAAAAAGAAACTGTGACCCTGAAAGGTTTTTTGTTGGCGTTTATTTAATACAATTATTATACATTCGAATAAATAATATTGTTATGCGGCCGGAAAAATTGGAACCCAACCCTATGCCCCCGGGGTGAGTTGTTCTTTTTTTTCTTTTTTGAATTATCTTTTTTATTCGTTTTTACCTCTAGTTTCAACATGAACTGTGGGATATACCCACCTCGTATACTGTGTTTAAATGGCTTTGTCTCCTCTCTATCTGCTGCTTGGCCTCTGTCAAAGGCAGGTCCCGTTATTTGTACACTAATAACGCGTATATTTTTAAAAAATCATTATTATTAATATTATTATTATTATTGTTATTATAATTTATTTATTTTTATTGTTATTGTTGTTTTTGTTGTGGTTGTTAGTTATTAAAATGGCAACTTCAAATTCTAAGAGAGCTCATAAAATTTAACGTCCTTCAAAGCACAAAAGGCTCTTTGGTAGGTAGAACTATTGGATAATATACCATTGGCCTTGTTGGTCTCACGCTGGACCATGCAGCAGATAACCCTGGTTCAAATCTCTTCAACGTGGGTTTGTTTCGAGATCGAGCTGTTTTGGGGGCTCTTTTTCTCTCTCTAACTTGGTTTGGTTTTGTCGGAGATGGACGGTAAATTCTGGACGTCCTACCTTCTAAAATAGTCTTTAAAACGTTGAAAGGTGCGTTTAGATCCATACCACACTCTGGTGTGGATTGCTTCTTCTTTCCTATCAAAAACATCTCCCCGGCTTGTGTTTTGTGCTTGTTACTCTCTTGTAACACCTCAAATCTTCGGCACTTATATGACCTTATTGTGATGCTAATGCCGTAAAACTCTTACTAAAACCAAACTACACTTCAGAGCTGTGATGATTATTGTTCTATCTCAGCCGGTAACAAAACCAAACATTTTGTACGTTCAGAGAGAATTAATGTGTCTGTTAATGTGCCTGTAATGACATTTTTGGGAGAATTTTTTGGCTCACGACAATGCCGAGTGTTGTGATAAGATAATAATAGTGTTATATTGCCAAGATGTGCTGTCGTCTTGCTTTTCAGTCCTTCACTAACTAGTTCAGTTACAACAACAGTATTCTTTGAGTTTGCGTTAAAAAGCTCAACGACGAAGCAGGCCTGATGGCAGGTTTTTTTGTCTTATGGATGAGTCAACTCCTGCAGTATTATTGAGGAGAGGAGAGCAACTGGGTTGTGTTTGTTCACGCGGTTATTATAAATACCATGTAGGAGTAAGTCTTGTGGTATTTTTAACACAGAAGACATGCATACACTGTATGAATAATTTGTCTAGTGTTATTTGTTAACAATCGGTATAAATTAAATACACAGTGGGAAAAAGTCAAAATGTATTAAATTATTATCATAATTGTCATAAATGTGCTCTGAGAAATAACCGAGCGATGTTTTTGGGGTATTTTTATATTTTAAAGTCATAAGTACGCTGTAATAATTAGGCAAGATGTGGTTGTTAATAAAAAGTTTAACTCGAAATTTATTGTAAAACTTACTTGAGCAAAGTTTTTTTACAGTACTGTAGTCATGGGTATAGTGACAAATGTATATATTAGCTAAAAGATACACTTTAAGAAGGAGCTGCTCGTTACGGTCTGGGGGAAGGGGGGGGGGTTTAATCGTATAAATCATAGATCATAACAAAACATTAGTTTTAGATATTGTACCTGTTCAGAGGTTTTTCGAAAAACTATTGGTGAGTCCTTGAACGACAAAATAGTGTGTTCTTAAATAAACGCAGGGTGAGATACTGTGTTTAAATATGTCTTCGTCATATTTTTTGTTGTTTTTATTTTGTTTTATTTTTGTGCGTGTATGGTGTGTTTTTGTGTGTGTATGCTTTGTTTGTTGTTGTTGGGGTTTTTTTGGTTTTTTTGTTGTTGTTTTTTTGTTAATGCTTTTGGCATCTTCCTCCTCTGTAATGGCGATGGAGCCATGGGAATACCTTAGCCTACCACAGCCGTTAACAGTTCTTGCGCCGGCTAGACATGATGGCGCAAGAATCACTAACGTTCTGTTCATTCTGGAGAAAGTTATGATCTTTTCTCACGTATTGAATTGATTAAATGCATTTTTTTACTTCAATTATACGGTTTATATGTAATATATTATATATAAATATATTATCCAAGGACAGTTTCTGTTTTGCACCATACATGTGAGAAATTGTTGCAGTTACTCCCGAGTTTAGCCTGGGTAAACACTTTTGTCATGACTCCCCCCACCTCCCCCACCCCCTCGAAAAAACTCCTACTCCCCTCCCCTCCCTCCCCACCCTTTACCACCCCCACCCGAGGTCCCGTGTGATTTTTATTATTCCTCCCGGTATGTGATCCCATCTCTCGTTCCATCCTTCATCCCATCTCTCACTCTTCCATCCCTCACAACCCATATAATTGCGTTCCATTTCTCATCCCGCACCTCATCCAGCCCCCTCCTCACGCTCATCTGCTGTTGTTCATTGATTCTGTATGACAATATCGTTGTTACAAGAAAATGGCTGAGTTTGAAACTGTGAACTGTAGAGAGGTATAGATGAACTTCGACACAATAAATTATTATGCTTACCAAATCAGCGCTCGTTTGCGATGCGTAATTTAGTCTTTCTTGGTAAATTGCAGAAGGAAGCAAAAAACACTTACTGTCTCTCTTTGAGGGGAGTCTTGAATGTTTGGAAAGTTACTTCAATTTTGTTTGTTGTTTTTGTTTTTAGGGGGGGGGGATGGGGATGGGTGATGTTTACTTTCATTTTTGTTTTACGTGTTCCTTGTTGCTTTTTTTTGGTTTATCGAATGTGTATTTTTGAGGAGGAGGTTGTTTGAGGGGGTAGTGGTGTCCATCCTACTGTAGAATATATTATTTGAACAATGTCGAGCACTTTTCTTGTAACAACGACCTATGTAATGTGATCGTGAATCATCTGAGGGTTGTTGACAAGATTTAGCAAATGTTGTGTTGGGCGTTTTTTGTCGTAGATCTCCAGTCCCTCTCGGGCTACTGAATGTGGTGACGTTTATTTCTCTCTGTGTGAAGTGAGTGGGGGGTTGTCGGTATATATATACCTTATATTGCCTTCTTCAAGACAAAGTTTGTGCGACTCCAGTGGCTTGCCCGTCAACCAATAACAGAGATGGCTAGTGTGGACAAGGTGGGGGTTTTTTGTTTTGTTTTTTGTTTTGTTTTTTTGGGGGGATGCCCTCGTAAGGTTTGCTCCTTCTTTACTACAAGCCTATAGATATATATCGTTCTTATACGAGTCTCCTTGTTTTCTGTGCATGCTACTCTCTAGGATAACATTTATGTAGCACATTTCCAAAAAAGTAGCCCAATGCGTTTTACGAAGCATAAACTCCAATTTGCCCATTTCAATAGGATGTGTGTTTATACCTTTTTTTTTAGGTTAGGGTAAAGTAAAAATACAGTTGAGAAATCTGTGTGAATTTTTTTTAAAGTCATACTTCTTTTTTATCGCTCCGCAACACGTTCCCAATGAATTAAAGCTAAGAAAACCGCATCTGGGATAGGTAAATAAGATTGAGAAATCTGTATGAATAAAGAAAAAGTAATACACTTCTATTTTTATCGCTCGCAAAACAACGCCTTACCATTGGAATGAAACCAACTAAACCGCACGAAACCATTGAGTCGGAAAGAGGAATAGATTCTTTCAATGAAATTCAGACTTTTGTCGCTTTTATGTCGTGAAACCGAAGAAAAAAAACCCCTCCAAGGCAGAAATGATAAGCTCTCCTGAAATGTGTACGATTTTTCATGCAGCTGTTTACTATGTGTCGTATTTAGTGTCTGAGATTTAAGCTGTCGAAGGAATGCTCTATCTTTTTACAAAGAATGATATTGTATTAACATGATCAGTGGAGATGCTAGATGTCCGAACCCTGTTACTCATGTCATGCATTGAGACTTATGTACAACGTCTTGCAATACGGATCTGACCATGCAACAGAGCCGATGTTGGATGCAACCACTCTCTCGGTTTCTTTCTTCTTTTTTTTTTCCTTTCTTTATTTTAAAACACTTTTCACTGTCAAAGAAGAATAAACCTGAAGTATCTGGGGTAAAAATGTTTCATCTGAGAAAGCAATGTGTTGCAGTTAAAACCTTTTGGCTCTATGTGCTACTCTTGTTCTCCTTTGATTGTGTGAAGTGTATTGAGAGAAGAGTGGGGTGTGTCTGAAGGGACGACAT